GATAGAGATAGATAGAGAGGGAGGGAGAGAAAGAGAGATTTTCAATTTCAAACCAAACTCTATCTGTCAAATTTAATGTTTTCATAACTTGCATAATATGATTTGAATCCACTAGACGTGTGGTTGTCTTGAAGGGCACCGTGATGTGCAGATTGCCCACTTACCGGGGCCAAGATCATTAGGGCAAACTATTTTCACAAAACCAATTTCCCAATGTGACCAACTTTTTATCATTGCTTCTCAAAAACTCGAACATTAGTTCGAAAATCATGATCGAGTTATAAAATTTTGAACATTAGTTTTCGGAAAATGCATTTAACATTTGTTAATCTCTCAAGGATGACATGAAGATCCTTTGAAATATATATTGGTCCAGGGAAAGGGAAACGGTGGAGCCAAAGCATATCCGATTCCTCTCAGGCTTCTTTTGGCTACCACATGTTTTGTGTAAAATCTCCATCACAGCAAATGTGAGTGTGACGCCAAAAAAAGGGACCAGAAGACGATGAAATAAGAGAGACTAGTTGCTATTGTCCAAACTCAATCTCAAACTCATCCATTTTCTTCCTTTTTTTAAGAGAGATCTAGAATTATCAATGAGTGAGTGTAGACTGTAGAGTTACAAAATTGGAAGAATATTCAAAGGCACCCCCTAGACAAGAACAAGTCGAAGGAGAAGAGAGAAACAGATCCTCTCACGTGCACATGCAGCAGAACCACCCCAACACCAGTCGTCTTGTCCCCTTGTAAGCACCATCCTTCTTCATATTAACTATATGGGGTTTTCTCTTTCTTAATTTCTGCTTTTTATATGGAGTTTTGATCAACGTGCATGGTAGATAGAATATAATTAACCCAACTGTGTGTGTTTTTATTCCCTTTGATTTTCTCCACCATGCTAATTTTGTTTGTCTTTTTTTTTTCTTTCTTTTTCAATGCCATTTACATCGTTACAAGTCACAACACTTACATGCTTCTTCAATGTTCTACAAAACCCACTTCCATTGTTCTGTGCTCTATTTATCAATCTTCCTTTTACTTGCGCATAATTTACAAAAATGCTTGAAAGTACAGGTCCAACTATGACGTTACAGAGCTAAAATTGGAAAACGGCCAATTGGCCATGCATGGCCTTGGTGGGCTTCTTCCCACATCCCAAGCGAAGCACACATGGGGCAGGGCTTTTGACACACTAGAATCCGTGGTTCATCAAGCTACTCACCACAGACGCGAACCAAACTTGATCCACAATGGCCAGACCCCGGCCAACATAAGCTCAATGGTTGCATCCTCCGGCCGAACATGGACTGACAACGGAGGCCAGGTACCGTTGGCAGAGGGGTGGATGAGGAAACGTACTCGATCTGACTCCGATTACCATGGAAACAATTTTAGCGGTAGTACTACTAGCATTCATGAAGAGCATGCAGATCCCAGCACTTGTGCTAGTCCTAGTCCTAGTGCTAGTGCTAAATTGTGCAGGGACAATGAAAAAACTATGACTACATGGGCTTCGTTTGAGTCTCTTCCCAGCTTGAAGAGTACCAAAAGCCCTGATGAGGATTCAGCCTCTCACGGCGGATTGGTAATATATATTTTTTAATCAACTCTTATTTTACATAATGTTACATGCATCGTATTTACTTGTCATATATGTGACAAATTGTAATTTTCATTTAACAGGAAAACCAAGATGATGGCCAAGAGACCACCAAAGATGGTGAATCAGGCCGTTCACGCTCCACAAGACCAAAGCGTGCTGCTGCTGTTCATAATCAGTCAGAGCGGGTAACAATTTAATTTTGGTCACCCAAAAAGGAAAAGAATGCATTTTGTCTGATAATCAATCCAAAAAAAATTTCTAATATGAATAAGGAAGGACTATAACTAATCCAAAAAAATTCCAACGGTGTGATGATGTTGTAGAAACGAAGAGACCGGATCAATCAGAAGATGAAAGCTCTGCAAAGGTTGGTGCCAAATGCAAGTAAGGTGAGAAATTTTGACAAGTGCTTAGGATCATAATTTGTTTGGGAACTATTCTGTGTCATCCTTGGCAAACATTAATTTTTTTCCACTTGGTATATTAATTACAGACTGATAAGGCTTCAATGCTTGATGAGGTGATCAAATACTTGGAACAACTTCAAGCTCAAGTCCAAATGATGAGCAGTGTGAGAAATATGCCTCACATGAATATGAATATGAATATGATGATGCCCCTAGGAATGCAGCAGCAGCAGCATCTTCATCAAATGTCATTCTTAGCACATATGGGCATGGGTGGTAATGTTGGTCCTCTTGGGCTAGGAATGGGAATGGGAATTGGAATTATTGACATGAGCAACAATATGGCACGCATGGCTGCTCATGCTCATCATCAATCTCTTCGCTCGCTGATTCCTCATCCTACTCCGGTTGTGGCGGCAGCTCCTACTTTCATTCCACCCTTTATGGTACCCCCATTGATGCCACGACACCCTCCTTCTCAAGCAAAGCCTGACCCTGCTTGCACCAATGCTTCAGACCGTTTGCCTGATCCATATGGTGCCCTTCTAGCACAAGTATGTTTTGCACAAAAATATATGGGTTTGGGCAACACCTACTACGAAAAATGACTGCTAAATAATAGCCTAAATATGTGAGCAATTTATATATGGATATCATTAGAGAATCCCTCTGAGAAGAAGCAATGCTACCAAAGTTAATTTTCAAAAAATTAAAATGACCCTTTTCACCAAAGTTAATTTGTCTCGTTAAAAGATGGCAGGAAGTTCTTTTTTATTTTTTTTGGGTGAGTTTCTTTGAGCTGACTTAATATCAATTGATTTGCAGCAATCAATGAATATGGACCTGTTCAATAGGATGGCAGCACTATATAACCAACAAGTCAATCACACAACAGCGGCAACAAGCAGCCCATCACAGTCAAACCATGTGCAAGGGAACTAATTAGAGGAACTTGCCCAACTTAGAAGACGAATATTGGAAGCACAAGAAGTTCTAAAAGAAAAACTTCAACGATTGCCTATCTGGCCTAGTTGATGGTGAAATGTGACTTTGATCATTATCTATATTAATTACTAAGCTACGCCTTCAAGACATCAATCTAATAAAATGTATGTGCCATTTCTGATCTGAGTTTTGAACCATAGCAATTAATTTGATCTCAAGACATCAATGTACTTATATAATGGTGCCTCATCAATTCAAATTGCCATCGTAATAACAAAATTAATCTCAGTATGACAATAGAAAATTATAAAACGATAATACACAGCTCTTTCAGCACACTGATAGGCAGCAATACACACGAGAAAAACGTTTCATATTCTCAGAGAGCCCTCTCATCTTGATTTAGTTTCTCTTTATCACAAATTCCTGTGACTTCAATACCATGTGACCTCCAAAACTACAGTGTTCTTGTTTTTCTTTTCACTCTTTTTCTATAAATATTTTCAAATATGTACAAAATAGCTATATGTATTTTGTAAATCAGCATGCATCTTCCACTGTCGAGGGTCTGGTATCCTGAAGTGAGATCACAGTCTCAAAAGCACCAACCAAGGCCTTGACTTTACTCTTCCTCGATTCAACAAGCCTACTGGCAGTCTCTTCAATCACATTATTGAACAATTTCTGGACATCCTTCCTTCCCTTCACATCTTGGTGTCTCAACACAACTTTCTCAGGACTAGTGTCAATACCATTCAACATGCCAGCACTACCATATTTTCTCCTGAAGCTCATCCTACGGGAACCTTCCAAATCTCGTTCTTGCTTTTTCATAACAACTTTCTTACATTTGATTTTAGCACCATTTGACTGACTGTCATCAACCTCCTTCCTCCCAGTGCTTCCCTTTTCGGTACCAGCATCATTTGACTCACTGTCATCAACTTCCTTCCGCCCAATGCTTCCCCTTTTGATACCAGCACCATTAGACTGACTATCATCAACTTTCTCCCTACCAATGGTTCCCCTTCTAATACCAGTGCCATTTGACTGATTGTCATTAACTTCCTTCCTCCCATTGATTTCCCCTTTGATACCACTTCTTCTGTTTTGGGTGTCCCTCACCAATCTTACTCTCCTGAATTTGAGTCTCCTTGGAGTATTGTTCTCGGGCTTGAGGTCAACCACCCTTCCTCTCCTGAATTTTAGCTTTCAGGCTAGGCTGTTTTGACTGTCAGAGCTAAGTACTCCAGACCTTCGAGGCCTAGTCTTGCGCTCCGCCTTTAAATTTACTATTTGATTATCAGTATTCATTGTATTGTGTTGAGAGGTGGCACCACTTTCTTTTTTATGAGTCGACTGAGATGGGGAGATGGACATGGATGATGATGCGGGTGATGAAGAAGATAAAGATGCTAGAGTACTACGTCTCAACCCTTTTTTATCGGGGCATAGAGGAGCAGGTGAACGGCCATAACCTCCATTTGCAGTACGTTTCAGTTTTGTCTTCTCAGAGGATGGAGGTGATCGAGTGCTACCAATTGCTTTCCTTGCTTGCTTCAAGCTTTTGACTTTCAAGGGTGAGGGTGATAATAACTTAGGCGCATTATTGCCATTTGGTGTTGGTTCCACAGTACTATTCTCAGTATTTGATTCAATGACGTACGGTATCTTTTCTGGCATGTCCTTATTGCAGGATCCTTCAGGCTCAACTTCTCTGGGATTGTTTTGATCTTTCAGATGAGACGACCCTTTGACTTTCTCACAGCTTCCAGTATTCACATTGGAGACTCTCTTGACCGGGTGCTTGGAAGTCAAAGAAACAATTTCAGGCCCCAACATCTTTTTCTCAACCAATACAGAAGTCCTCAGGGTTCTGCTGCTGATTTTTCTATTTCCTCTGCTGCTTGAACCTTCTAGTATTTCCTTGACTTTTCTGCTTCCACTCTTTCCTTGATTATGTGAACCCTTTCCTGGGAGAGAAGATGGCTCTAGTTGCTCAGGCTTCACCCTTGAAAGGGAACCTTCCGTACAAGCATCAATTTCCTTAATGTAGGTTGAAACTTTTTTTGAATAAACTTTTTCTTTCTTTTTCAATGGTAAAACTCTTTTTTTGGTGACAACAGAATGATCAAGTTTCAGGGTTTCTGTATCTGGAGAAGGCTTAGGACTGATTGTGGATATCCCCTTCGAATTACTCAGGCTTAGTACTGATCCTGGGAGAGAAGATGGTTCTAATTGCTCAGCCTTCAACTTCGAATCTATGGAATCTTCTGAAGAAACTTCTATATCCTTAAAGGAAGATGAAACTCTTTTCTCTGCGACAACAGACGTCTGTATCTCCGAATCTGGAGATGACTTAGGATTGATTGTCGCTATCCCCTCCAAATTGTTCAGGCTTAGGACAGATCCTGGGAGAGAAGATGGCTCTAATTGATAGGCCTTCACCTTCGAATCAACCAAATCTTCTGTACAGACATCTATTTCCTTGGGAGACGAAACTTTCTTTGAAGAAATAATTTCTTTCTTTGTCAATGATAAAACTTTTTTCTCTGTGACAACAGAATTATTAAGTTTCCGGGTTCCAGAATCTGGATAAGACTTACGAGGAGTTGTGGATATCACCTTTTTCTCTGTGACAACTGAATAGTCAAGTTTCTGTGTGTCGGAATCTAGAGAAGGCTTTGGACTGGTTGTGGGCATCTTTTTCCTCTCTGAGTCTGCTGAATTAGTTGCTTTGAGATTCTGGCCTGCAATTCCAGTTGCTGTATCCGATTTTGGCATTGCAGTGGGTGCATTTTCTTGAGAAGGATTTCTCACTCCATATTTGCAATAATCATGGCAGGAACCTGTTCGAGCTCTGAGATAACGGGATTGAATCTTTACACCAATGTTCGGATGATTTTTTCTTATATTATCACCATTGGGCTCTGTTTCCAGTGGGATCACTAAGAGGTAGTTCCTTCTGATTTCACCACCTTTGGGCTCCATTTCCTGTGAGATCAATGGGATAGAGTTCCTTCTGATACCACTGCCATTGGGTTCAATTTCCTGTGGGATCACTGCAACAGAGCTCCTGCTAGCATCACCACCATTAGATTCCATTCCCTGTGGGATCATGGAGATAGAATTCCTGATGATATCATCAGGTGGATCTGCACTCTCGATAGAGTTCATTCTGACATCACCACCCTTAGTCTCCATTTCCTGTGGGATCGCTGGGATATAGTTCCGTTTGATATCACTGCCACTGGGTTTTATTTCTTGTGGGATCCCTGCAATAGAGTTCCTATCATCACCATTGGATTCCATTTCCTGTGGGATCACTGGGATAGAGTTCCTTTTTATATCAGGAGGAGGATCTACTTTCCTGATGGAGCTCCTTTTGCTATCACCACCACCATTGGCTTCTATTTCCTGTGGAATCACTAGGTTAGAGTCCCCTCTGACATTACCACCCTTGGGCACCAATTCCTGTGGGATCTCTGGGATAGAATTCCTTCTGATATCACCGACATTGGAATTTGTTTCCTGAGGGATCACTGAGATAGAGTTCCTTCTGACATCACCATCATTGGGCTCCAGTTCCTGTGGGATTACTGGGATAGAGTTCCTTCTTGCCTTGTCACCATTGAGGTCTAGGCCTTGTAGGATCACTGGGATACCAACGTTCTCTACTTCCATTATGAAGATGACAAAGCAAACGCACAACCCTGTAGAAAATTAAGATTTCCCCACAAAGAGAAAGTGAGAGATTATGCAAAAGCAACACTCATTTCCTAAATGAAATTTTTATCCCTTATTTTTATATGTTTCAAGTAAAAGAACAAAACGAAGCAAAGTGCTCACCAAGAATCTGATGTAACTGTAATGTAGTGAAAATCTTGAGGCCTCAAAACTTCACAAGGCTGTTATGCTGCATTCAACATGAATGAAAACATTCACTCACAATAGCTCCAGAAAAAAATAATGATGATTTTATATTACATCATGAACAGAAAAATGAAAGCTAGCTAAAACTGAAGATCGGATTGTTATTGAATGAAATGATCAACAGTTTTGGAAATGTACATTTAACCCTATACATCTAAAAGTAAATGATGGGCCTTTTAACATTTACTGGACCTATTCCTTTCTTTCTTTCCCCCATCTTGGATTAGGGTTTTATCCTTTTTAGCACACATAAGAACTTGTCACTGCAACTTCACCTAAGAATTTGCCAAACACAAGACAATTAAGCATTCAACCTCGTAATTCAGATGGTATTCCCTTCAGATACCATGCATCAACTTGTGGCATTACACGGTCAATGCACAAGTACACACAAACTCTATGTATGTAAAACAGTAGCTGCTACTTGCTAGGATCAAAGCAGCAGGCATGCACACTCTCTCATGCATGTATGAGAAGATTAATTCCACTTTCAAGGCTCAAAAAAAATTTACAAACTTTATGCAAACATTTTGAAAGATCTTAAATCAACCTATTGATTGGTAAACAAAACAAACGCACCATCTGACAGCTAAAACAGGAGAAAGGTCGACATACCATGATAGGTCTCCTCCAAGAATTAGTCTCAGTTATTGAGCTCTTTGTTCAAAACCTGACAGATCATACAAAAGTTATAATCATGATAGATGCAAAAACACCTATTTTCTGCACTTACAAACACCAATAACAAAACAAGACAATGTATCGCCAAAATCAGCAAACTATCAAAATCATAAACTTGCAATTCCCTCAATCAACAATTGAGAAAAAATTATCCGCTTACACGTCCAAATGGCCTAAGAGAATCCTCTAAAATCTTTGTTTACCAATCATAATGGTAAAGAGCAACCAATTTGAAATTTGATTGTTAAGAATGGAAAAAAAAAAAGGAAAAGAGAACAAATTTCTCATCATCTATCATGCGTCTTAAGGATCAACCCATTAGCAAGCTGCCAAGGAAATGCTCATTTTGGCAAAACAGGGACTAGCCCATTTGCAGTTTTCAC